TTGGATAAAGATTCAAATACCAGAAAGGTAACCCTAACTTATCTACCACTTAATTCGACCCATTCTCGTCCTAAATATCTATAAATACGAATATATGTCACCTTCACCGAAACTCTGAATTAGGTTTTTTTTACAGTTAGAGCTTTTATGAAGAAGATCCTTTGTGGTTGCTATCGCAACCGTCCCTCCGGGGGTCCGTCGGGGTCGTCGCGTTGGCTTTTTTTGGGAGTCGCCATCGATCTTACTTGGAGTGGATCAAACACACTTTGAAACGGCTCTAACCTTAGGGTCAGAACCGAGATATGGTCTGCGGTTAAGAGATTCAGGTTCGGGAGTGCGGTTACGTGTGGGGAAGTGAAATCACGCCCCACAACGCCCTAAATCGGTACTGCTTAAGTTTATAAATTTATATACGAGTTGGGTGAATTTTTAGTAATAATTTTGTATTTTTCGGATCTCACTGGATCATTACTATATTGCTATCTCGTTAGGTGTAATTGAGCTAGACGTCCATTGACGTATTAATTTATTATGAGGTATTTTAAGTATTTTTAGGGCCTTACTAGACCACTAATGAATTTAAATTGTAATAGTTGTAATTTAATTATACGCCTACTGACGTAAAAATTGAATATAAATTAATTAGTTGGTTGGATTCGAACCTTATCGGTTGCCTACGTATCAGTTAGACGGGATCAAAGTCCTCGTAGTTCGTTTGGACTTTGATAATTTTAAATAAAATTATTACCACGTTCCGCTGATCGTGGTTTTCGTATCAAAATTTATTGTTAATAAAATTTAAGTTGATATTATGAAATTATGAAAATGTAATATAAGGATTTCAGTTATTAAGAGCAGATTTGATGTATTAGAAAAGAAACGAGATAAACTTAATCGCAATTCTACATTTCGTATTAAGGATATTAAATGATAAATCTAGACGAGATGAATAAATTTATGCATGATGGGCCAGTAGCCCAACTGGCTAAGGCGCCAGTTTTAGCGCTTTCGTGTCTAAGGACGCGGGCTCGTTTTGGTGCATCGAAGGGGGGAGGATGAAGATAGGCTCAAAGGTTTGGCTCAGGAGTTCCACAAAGACCTATTTAGAGCTAGAGACCTTATCCCCTTTGCACATCTCCTGGACGGCTTCCAAGGAAAGGTTACAGATGAGATGAATGTAGCTCTTTGTGCCCCGGTGACAGGAGAGGAGATTAGGAAAGCGGTCTTCTCGTTAGGAGCAAAAAAGGCCCCAGGCCCGGATGGTTTCTCGGGTAGGTTTTACCGAAGATTCTGGGATATTATTGGGGAATCGGTGTGTAGGGAGGTTAAGGAGTTTTTCGAGACGGCAACTATGCCGAATGGATGGAATGATACTCATATCGTCATGATTCCTAAAGTGGACCACCCAGAGGTGATTAGTCAATTTCGACCCATTAGTTGCTGCAATTTTAGATATAAGATTATATCGAAGATAATGGCAACTCGCTTGAAGATCTGGACGCCTGATCTTATCTCGGAGCTCCAAACGGCATTCACCAGTGGACGGCTTATCCAAGACAATGTCATTATTGTCCACGAGGCCCTCCACCATTTCAAAAACCATAAGAGGGGAAGGAGAAGGGATATGATGCTCAAGTTGGACATGAAGAAGGCGTATGATATGGTGGACTGGGACTGTCTCGAAACTCTGCTGAAAAATTATGGGTTTGATGATAGATGGTGTAGATGGGTCAGCTCTTGTATCAGGACGGTCAATTTTTCCATCCTCTTCAATGGGGAAGCTACTGAGGAGTTCAAACCGTCAAGGGGAATCAGACAGGGAGACCCTCTCTCTCCTTTCCTCTTCATTCTAATGTCTAATGCTCTTACCTTCCTAATTGATAAGGCGGTATCCCAGAACCAATTAAAGGGAATAAGGTTGAACGCTAGATGCCCAATTCTCACCCACTGTTTGTTTGCAGATGATACTGTTATCTTTGGCAAGGCAGATATTCAAGAAGCGGAGAAGATTCTGGACCTTATAAGAGAGTATGGAGCCATCACGGGTCAAGAAGTGAATATCAACAAATCATCTGTTTTTTTCAGTGCAAATGTCCCCGAGGTGGACAAAGGAGCAATCATTAGTCACATCGGGTTTGCCTCGTCTAACGTCCACACCAAATACTTAGGAGTCCCGACAGAATGGGGAAACTCGAAGAAGGAAACTTTCCAATTCCTGATTCAGAGAATGGAGAAGATGGGTGAAGCGTGGAAAAGCCTCCTCCTCTCTCATGGAGGGAAAGAAGTGTTACTCAAAGCTGTCATTCAAGCTATCCCTTCCTACATCATGTACCTGTTTAACCTCCCGGTGAACCTGACAAAGAAGATGGACTCTCTCCTAACCAACTTCTTCTGGTCAGGGTCAATGCAAAAAAGCACAATGCATTGGTGCAGGAAGGATATTCTTTGCGCACCAAAGGCAGAAGGGGGTTTGGGTTTCAGAAGCTTCAAGGATTTTAACATGGCTTTATTAGCAAAACAAGCGTGGAGAATCCTTAACCACCCAGATGCATTGTGGTGTCGGCTCCTGAAGGGCTTATACTTCCCGAGAGGGGGATTCATGCAATCGAAAAAGGGTAGTAGATCATCTTGGATTTGGGCGAGTTTGTGGGAGGCAAAGAAGGTTATCAACATGGGAGCGGTTAGAGTTATTGGCTCTGGAGAGGATACTTGGATTGGTCAAGACCCATGGATTCCAAACCTCCAAAACTATGTCATTGGAAGTGGCCCCCAGCAAAAACTGAGGGTAAAGGAATGGATTGACCCTGTTAGTAGAAAATGGAACATTGATTTGCTGCAAGGTAATGTGACGAGAGAGGAAGAGGCGGCTATTCTTAAAGTCCCAATTGGGGAGGAGGGATCTGAGGACTTCTGGGCGTGGAGTCTCACCCGAGAGGGAGATTTCTCAGTCAGGACTGCCTACCACGCTGTTCACAAAGCCAATACAAATTTCCAGGCATATGGAAGTGAAGAGAAGTGGAAATGGATCTGGGGACTGAATATCCCACCAAAGCTAAAATTCTTTTTATGGAGATGTTCCAGAGACGGGTTGGCAACGAGAGCAAGACTTTTCCAGCGCAAATGTGCCCCTAATCCGAGCTGCCAGGTGTGTCATAACCCTAGTGAATCCCTCAACCACTGCCTTTTCGACTGTCCTCATGCCAGTGACGCTTGGAGTAGCACTTTCCCATCCCTGCCGATTCCTCCTCAGGGCACATCCTTCTTTGATTGGTTCTGCTCCCTCAAAGATACCATCCCCCAAAACTCCCTGATACATATTATCTACCTTTGTTGGAACATCTGGAAGGCAAGAAATGAATGCACGTTCAAGAATCGACTTCCCTGGACCCCAAACGTTTGTCTGCAAACCTATAGAGAGCTCACGGAATGGATTGCTTGCCCGAGGCCCCCACCTCAAGGTTCTGATGGTCCCACTCAGCTCAGGGGATCCCATCCTACTACGAATCCACCGCCAAGTAGTCACTCGTTTGTGATTCAATGTGATGGGTCGTTCTTTAGCGACCCCCAATCGGCGGCATATGGTGTTGTGGTTGTTAACCACCATGGACAAGTGTGTGATGGGAGAGCTGAAAATCTTCTTTGTTCCACCCCGATGGAAGTGGAAGCTAAGGCACTTATGGAAGGAATTAAATTAGCACAAGAATATGGATCGGTGTGTACAGTTCAATCTGATTGTCAAATGCTGGTGAAGGCCCTGAATCATAATCAGTCTCGATGGCCCTGGAGATGCGCTGCCTGGATTAGGACAATGGTCAATATCCTGAGGAATAATCCAGATATTTCGGTGGAAGAAGTTCCTAGGGCGTTGAACGTTAGAGCTGATTGGGTTGCACGATCAAAAGCCAAATCTAACCTGCCAGAAGACTGGATTAATATTCTTGATCTAATTTCTGTTCTCCTCTAGAATTGTAATAGCTTTTGCACGAATATTGGTTTAGTGGAATAAAAGTTGATATGATTTGTCAAAAAAAAAAAAGGGGGAGGGTATTTTGGTAATTCCAAAAAAACGCGATGGCAAGGCCGCATTATTAGTGTGGAACCCTAGGGGTATTTCTATCTTTTGGAAACATATATAAACGTCTTAAACTAAAAAAAACTAAACCCTAATCAAAATCGGCCGTCGCTAGCCCTCACTCTCGCCTCTCTCTTCTCAAACCCAAACCCTAGAGAACCCGAAACAGAGGCGGCCGCCGTCTCTGTAAGAGAACGCCGTCTCTCTCTCTCTCTCGTTCTTCTCATTCTCTTTGCCTTTCTTCCTCTCGTTCTCTCTCTTCTCACTGGCTTCTTTGAGACGAGAAGCAAGAAGAGGAAACACTAAACACCACAAATCGAAACCCTTCCTCTCGACTTCTCTCGATTTGCCAACTCTCCTTCGTCGGCCTCCACAAAATCCCGACCCATCTACGTCAAATCTACCGGAGCGCGTCGATCTAGGTATGATCAACATGCAGGCTTCTTTTCTCTAGATTCGTATGTTTATTATTTTTTATTATGATAATTTGCTTTTTTTGTGGGTGCCTGCATTTGGACGAGTGGAGAAAGAAAATGGGGAGGGGGCAAAAATCGTTGGCAATGAGATTATTCCGTCGATGACGGTGATTTCTAGGTGCGGTTTTTTATTTGCATGTCGAGTTTTCTTGCAATTTTGGGGGTTTTCTGTTCTGTTCTGATTTTTTTTTCATATTGTATTTTGATTTTTTTGGACTGAACGAGGGGAGAATAAGGGAGACTTGGGCGGCTAGGGTCTTCGTCGGCGGTGGTGTGACGACGATGTCAGGTGGGGTTTTGATTTCTGTGATTTTTACTTTTGATTTAGTATTCCTTCAATTGATTCTGACTTCTATTCTTGTATTGATGCAGGTAAAAAAACAGATCTAGGTAGGTCTACTAAGACTCTTGAGAATTTTTGAACTAAATTTTTTTGGATTACATGGTTATAGACTCAATGATTTGCGAACCTAAATGCTAAAAACAATGGGGTAAATGACACATTTGGTCACTGAGATTATTAAATTGTGTCATGTTTAGTCACTAGAAAAATTTAATATCAATTTTGGTCACTCGAATTACCGAAACTGGTCAAATTTAGTCACTCTCCCATCAGTTTCCGTCCAACTCCATTAATGTAGTTGGACGGAAATTTTTGGGAGAGTGACTAAATGTGACATGTTTCAGTAATATGAGTGACTAAATGTGACATTTTTCAATAATTCGAGTGACCGGAGTTTGACAGAGGCTACAGAAGAGTGACCAAATGTGACCTGTGTCAGTAATTCGAATGACCAAAATTGATATTAAATTTTTCTAGTGACTAAATATGACACGATTTAGTAATCTCAGTGACCAAATGTTTCATTTACCCAAAAACAATGGTTGTGTATGTGTTTTGGAATTTTGGTGTTTGGTGGATTCGGTTTATGGTTTGGATCTAATTCCAGATGTGCTAGAAGTTGCTAAAAACTTGTTTTTCTTTAGTTGAAGTTTAATTAACATGCTGTAAATTGGTATTTTGGCGATTGGAATCATTGCTATCGTTAGTGATTTTGCTAGACCATGGACCAAATCACTGCTACTGCTTGATTATATTAAATTGTGGACTCTAAATCACTGCTACTGCTTGTGATTTATTTAGATTATGATTTTTTATTGGTAAACTGGTAATCGTTTGTGAATCAAAAATTCGAGTGTGATATGGTTGATTAGATTTGGATTTGGATTTAATTTGTTTATGTATGATGAACTAGTGTTTATCACTTATATGCTGAAAGGGAATATGAAAACATGGCGGAAAATTAAAGTAGACTATCAATTGATGAGAAAAGTAGGTAAATGCTCAATTGAAAGAAGCTTGGTGTTGAAATTAGTACGAGCAAATTCTATTATAAGTAAATAGATTGCTTGAATATTAAGGGGTTTGTAAAGTACAACAATTGAATATAAATGGGCAAGTAGATAGACGATTATGACTGTACAATGATTGAGCATGAATTTGACGAAAACAAAAATGAGATCAGATCTTATTAAATGGATGAAAGAGTAAGGGCACCAACCTGGTTGGAGTTTCTCGGCCTAAGAAAGGCCTTCTGCTTAATCTCACGAATTTCTGCGTCAATCTCGTGTAAAAGACGGGTGTAAAGAAAAACAAACTCAAAATGAAAAAACAAACTCAAAATGTTTATGTGTATTTCTATAATGCAGTTTTTTTCTTTTCCCCAAATCGCCCCCCCACCCCCAAACGAGAGCTGAAGAGCCTCTTAAATAGCAAAAACAACGCCACATGTCGCTCCCTGATTTTAGCATTTCTTTATTCCGACTTTGAAAGGTGTGCCTGGTCGGCTGGATAATATATGGTTAGACCGAATTGGTGAAGGTCGGTTTATGTTTGGATTTCGTTGGGCCGAGTTGGACTTGCCCTTTGGGTTTAATCAGGTCTGGACTTTAGTTTGAGAACTGACTGGTTTTTCTTTTCTTTTGCAGGTTAGTTTCGCTTTGGGCCCAAAAGAAATAGCAAAAAGGCCTAGTCTTGATCTGATTGGTGCCCCAAATTTTGTAGAGTTAGCATTAGTCATTGTAGTTAATTCTAATTCTTGCTTTATTTAAAGGTCACTACCCAAGTTGTACGTATCAACTTTGAATCTTTGATAATAAAGCTCATTCCACTATTCAATTTGTCACATTTCAAACACCGAATCCAAATCCAAACTCGAGCAACAAAATTTGCACTATAGTCATTTCTTCCATCCAATTGAGAATTTATATTTAAGATTTGCCACTGCTAATCTTAACTTAAACCGATCCTATCTTAACTAATTATGCCCTAGAATCGACTAGGAGCAAATTTGATAATTGTTGGTTCATATTGACTTGCAAATGCTAGTCTCAACCAAACTATATTCGGTTTCCTTTTTAAATATAATCGTAGTACGACGTTTCAATAATTATTTTCAATAAAACGATTATCCCGGACAAATAGTTTCTACAGTTGTTGTTGTACGTGATTCAAGAGGTCGACCACGTGGAAGTTATGAGTCCTTGTTATCATTATTTATGACTGATTCTGTTGGTTTGAAACGTAATTTTTACGAGCAAAAGAACCACCCACATTGACATACACAAGCAAAAAAGACGCAGGACATAGGTTGATTTCCTTGTATTTGGTCGACCTCGTACCAGATTATGTCGACCGCGAAACCAACACTTGATCTTCATTTCACGTCAAATGATGATGGATAAATGGATACAACACTTCTCTTCTATCTGGTAGACATCTTTCTGTAAATGGTCGACTATTTTGTTAATGACCGCCATCAAGTGGTCGACCTATATACCTTTGCGGTCGACCATTTTGCTTCTGACGCCAATGAAAAGGGCGACGTATGTTTTATTGTGGTCGACCAACAATGACAACTTAAACTAGAAACGGTCGACCACTACATTTTAAAGATCTACCGTGATAAGTCATCAGGGTGTCCACATTAGTGTATTCAGGAACCTCACAAAACTGAAACGGCATATTAGGTCGACCTAATCCTATATAAGGTCGACCTAAAAATGCATATTAGGTCGACCTAATCTTATACGAGGTGGACCTAAAAATAAAAATAAGTATCAATTCTTTTTTAACTCAATGGCAATTGCGATTATGAAAACATAGATAATTTCATTCCAACCAATTTTTGGTTTTGGTTCTCTCAAGAAATCAGACCAGCAATATAGTGGCGTGTTTACTTATAGAGGGAAGGTCGGGGGCCCGAACTCTTAAAAAAAAAAAGAGGAACCTCTCCCTTCTCCGCTTTTCGTGACGAGTGGGAGCGTGGTCACCGCCGAAGTGCGGTTCGCCATTACTGGCATGACTGGCCGTCGTGGGCCACCGGAAGCGGCCGTCGACTCCACGGGGCTATTTAAGCCCGCCCTGGATCCTCCCCATCTCTGGCCATCGCATTCCCTTCCCGGTTTTATCCTTCTTCTGAAACTCTGTGTCGTCAATTCCGATTCGGTGCTGCCCAGATCCATGGCTGCAGGGAATGTGTTGCTGTTTGGAGATGAAGATGTAGCCCCCGGGGCGGAGAGGAATGACCTCTCTCTACTGGGCAGAATCATTGGCCCATCCCCTCCGCTTCGTCAACTGATTACAACCCTAAGGGGTCTTTGGGGCTGTGACGGCCCGATCTCTGTTCTTCCTGCGGCTGAAGGGCTACTGCAAATTGTCTTCCCTAATGAGGGGGATTTGAACAGGGTTCTGAGGATGGGGCCATGGATCTTGCCGAAGTTCATGATCAATCTGGCACCATGGGTGGCAATTTCCTCAGATGTGGCTGAACAAATGTGGAGGATTCCCCTCTTTCTGCAGTTCTGGGACGTCCCCACTACCTGCTGCTCGCAAAGAATGGCCACACTACTCGGCGGTTACTTGGGGAAAACTGACCAGGGTGTTGTGCATCGAGCGGCGGACACGGCGGAGATCTATCTGCGGGCTCGGGTCTGGCTAGATTCTCGGCTCCCATTGCCGGTCGCTGTTCCGGCGTCCCATGAAAGGGCAGGACAAGGTGAGTTCACTGCTTCAGTCAAGTTTGAAAAACTCTCACAATTTTGCTACCTTTGTGGCATCCTAGGTCATATTGGCCAGCAGTGTCCTCGCCGGGAAGAACTCGCTGGCACAGCAACTCCATACAACCTACGCCTGGTCTCCAAAAAGTCTGGTCCCAAGGTGAATGAGAGGAACTTACTTGGCCGTCGTCATATGATCTGGGTTCGCAAAGAGAGGGACTCGGTTCCTCAATTAGGACAGGGCTCATCCAGTCTTGTTCCTGCTGCAATGCCGGGATCTTCCTCTGCTGTTGGCACAATCCCCTTCGAACCAAGTCTGACCCGTGGCAGGCAAACTTCAAATGACTTGGTGTTGCACTTCCCTGAAGCCAAGAAGCAGAAACTTGAGCTCACCTCTCTCGGACAGGATACCAACAACATTGATGTGGTGGTGGCACCCAGCCCTGACTGGTCCCACCGTGATAGATGAGCATCCTTGCCTGGAATTGTCGGGGTTTGGGCTCTACCCTGACAATTCCCTCGCTCTTTGGAGCCATTTGTCGTTTCTCGCCATCAATTATATGTTAAGCGAAACGAAGCGGGAGGATGACTTTGTACATAAAAAACTGAATCGATTAGGCTATGTCGTTGTTAGTTGTGTGTCTCCTATAGGAAGGGCTGGCGGTCTAGCTTTGGCTAGTGCCCCTACCATCCAATGTCGTGTCATAGGAACAACTGCATTCTTCATTCATGTAGAAATTCAGCATCAAGTTTGGGGTAGTATTGCTGTGTTCTTTGTCCATCTTCACTATGATGTAAATATTCGCATTTCCCAGTTTAATGAATTAAGCAATTTGATCTCGTCGTGTTCGCTTCCTGTTATTGTCCTTGGTGATTTTAACTGCGTTCTTTTTGCTGCTGAGAAACAGGGGGGACGCCCACCTGCTTTTGCTAGTATAGATCAATTTCAATCATTCATTGATACTGCAGGGCTCTTTGATTTGGGCTTCCGGGGTCCTCCCTTCACTTGGTCAAATCGGCAGGGTCTCTCTACCCATATTCTTGAACGTCTTGATCGCGGTTTAGGATCCGAACCAATTCTACATGCTTGGCCAAATGTGCAGGTCTCTCATTTGACTGATCTTGGATCAGACCACAGGATGCTTCTTCTGCAGTTAGTCCCTGGATCGGGTAAAGGTAAACCACGGTTCGTGTTTGATGGCAGATGGACCCCCCTTGATGAGGCCAGAAACATAGTTCTGCACGCCTGGCAAGAAGTTGTCGTGGGCACTCCTCAATTCCGACTTTTCACCTTGTTGAAGTCAGCTCGCCATCAGTTTGTTGATTGGGCGCGCCAGGGTACAACGAATTCAGCAAGACAGATTAGAGAGCTTCGTCAAGCCATCGAGGCTGAAAGGGACCGAGCTGCTGTAGAGTGGGCTGTCATACAAGGTTTGGAGACTCAGTTGGCTGCTGCGTATCAACAAGAAGAAATATACTGGAAGCAGAAGTCCAGGAATAATTGGTTACATTTCGGAGATGCCAACACGGGATACTTCCACGCCACTGCAGCTCAACGGCGTAGGCATAACCAGATTGAATTACTTCGGGATGAATCAGGTGGAATCCATTTCGAGGAACCAGCCAAGGGTAACGTCTCTGTGTCCTATTTTCAAAATCTGTTTGCTTCTAACGGGAACCCTTTCCACTTTCTAGTCACAGCCCTAGGCCTGCCGAGAAGGGTGAGCACAAATCAGAATTTATTGCTCACTTCTCCAGTAACCCGGGAAGAGATTAAACAAGCAGTGTTTAGCATCGGGGCGTCCCAAGCTCCGGGATCTGACGGTTTTACAACAGCCTTCTTTCAAGCTTATTGGGAGATTATTGGGAATTCGGTCTGTGTGGCAGCCCTATCCTTCTTCAGGTCGGGTAGGCTTCTCCATAATTTTAATCATACCTTGATCACACTAATTCCTAAGATCCCCAATGCAGATTCCATGAGACAGATGAGACCAATCGGCCTGTGTCAGGTCTTTTATAAGGTCATATCCTAGGTGTTATCTTCCCGATTGAGTCAGGTACTTCCTTCGGTGGTGAGTGATTGCCAAAATGGGTTTGTCAAAGGGAGAGACATCTCCGATAATATACTCATAGCACAGGAAGTCATGCACTTTCTCAAGACAAAGACTGAAGGTGGGGACAAATGGATTGCGCTGAAGTTGGACATGGAAAAAGCATATGACCGGGTTGAATGGGGTTTCCTGTTTGCGGTTTTGGAATCGTTAGGATTTGCATCGGATTGGATACGTCTAGTCAAGACTTGTGTTACGGCCGTTTCCTTTTCTGTGATTCTCAATGGCAACATCCATGGCTATTTCCGTCCGGAACGGGGTATCCGCCAAGGTGATCCTCTTTCCCCTTTGCTATTTGCTCTATATACAGAAGCTTTTTCCACTATGATCTCTAATGCTCTTGCTGCCCAACAGTTACATGGTCTTAAAATCCACCGCTTTGCTCTAGTTACTTCGCATTTACTATTTGCTGACGACACATATTTGTTTTTGCGAGCTTCTTCCTCGGAGTGCAACCACCTTCTGCATTTATTTGAACTTTATGAGGCAGCTAGTGGGCAGAAAATTAATCTCCAGAAGTCCAAGGTATGCTTTAGTTCTAATGTTTCAGCTCAGGAAGGTGCTGCGTTGGCAGCCACTTTGGGGATCGATTCAATTGGAGAATTGGACAAATACCTCGGTTTACCGGCTCAGATTCAAAGGTCAAAAGTTCAGACTTTTCGGTTCATTGAGGAGGCCCTTTCCAAACGAATTCTGGGCTGGAAATCCAAATCTCTATCGCTGGCAGCAAAGGAAGTCGTGATCAAAGCTGTCGGATCGGCCACCCCTGTGTATGCGATGATGTCGTTCAGATTACCAGCCACTTCCTGCCGACGAATGAATGGTCAACTCTCGAAATTTTGGTGGGCAAGTCAAGACAAGGAGAGAGGGATACATTGGGTAGCTTGGCCGGCAGTTTGTGTCAGTAAATTCCGTGGAGGGCTTGGATTTCGGGACTTCGATCTGTTCAACGTAGCCATGCTGGCCAAACAAGCGTGGAAGATCCTCACGTCTCCTCAGTCGACTCTTGCTCGGATGTATAAGGCCAGGTACCATCCCCACTGCAACTTCCTCACTGCAACGACAGGAACTCGTCCCTCCTGGGCGTGGCAAGGGGTTCTCGAAGGCCGTAAGCTCTTGCTGAAAGGACTGCGTTGGCAAGTTGGGTGCGGGACAGCAATTCGCATTGTGGAGGACAGATGGCTACCTTCTGCTTCACCTTCCTCTCCTTCCCTACTGCCAGGGGTGCAGTTGGGCAATCCGTTCGTGGCTTCACTTATTCATCCAATCTCTCGGAATTGGAATAGGGAGTTGATTACCTCTTTGTTCACTGCTGAATGTGTTAAGCTGATTTTATCTATTCCATTACCTGCTTCTCCTCGTCCTGACAAGTTGATATGGCACTTCTCTGATACAGGTCTGTATACGGTAAAGACGGGTTACCACTTGCTTTCGGAAGAGCGCTCGGAGATGTTCAACAACCTTCCCCCTCATCTCAATACCCGGTTCTGGAAAACTTTATGGAGTTTACCAGTTCCCCCCAAGTTAAAGTTCTTTTTGTGGCGGGTTGTCCGGGGGTTCTTGCCTTGTTTGGATGTGCTGCAGTCTAAGACTTTAAGTGATTCAGGAATTTGCCCTGTTTGTTCTGGAGGATTGGAAACTATTGCTCATTGTTTATTTGATTGCAGGGTGGCTAGGGAGATTTGGAGTCTCGCTGGCCATGAACAGGTTCGGCGGACAATAGCTTCCATGTCACCTGATTTGGCATGGGCCCATATCTTCTACTCGTTGCAGCTGAGCAAAAGTGGAAATGGCGGAACTAGTGTTCCTTATTTAGCGAATATGGAAGGCCCGTTGTTGGTCCTGCTATGATCATGTGCAGTATCTCCCAGGCCCTTTAGTTCGGCAGTTTCGACAGCAGCAGGATGAATGGACAGCAACAACTAACTCCAACTCACGTGGAGGGAATTCCCATGGCCGCCCCAGATCTCCTCCGCCTTCTCCATCTTGTCCGGCAGGGGGTGTGTTGATCCACTTCGATGGCGCCACTCGACATGGAGAGGGAGGCAACATAGGCTTTGTTGGATTCTCAGAAGCAGGATCACCCATTTATGCTTGTGGCAAATATTATGAAGGTATTTCTGATCCCTTTTTAATGGAGCTACTAGCATTACATGATGCAATGGATTGGTGCTTAACTCGAGGCATTGTTTCTGTTTGCTTTTGTGGTGATTCGCAATTGGTGATCCGGCGAGTATCGAAGAATGTCATTGAGCATGATCGTGGTGGAGCAATCCTTGAGGAGGTTCGAGTGCTGAAGTCCTCGTTCACGTTTATTCGTTTTATTTTTTTCCCTCGTAGGACTAACAGGGCTGCCCATTGCGTGGCAAAAACGGCTCTTGCATCGTCTAATCAGCACTTGGCTGATTTCCGTTATTTATTTTTCAACTTTATGTAATTCCCTACCTATTAAAGAGCTAACTAAGTTAAAAAAAAAAATACAGTGGCGTGTTTTCTTGGCAGGGGTACAAACTAAAGAACGGTGTCGTTTCAGCCCTCTCGCGACAAATAAAAGGATGAACCCTAGTTCGAGGAGTCTTTCTTCTCGTTCAGTTGCCCACTGCGCTCACTTCTTCCCTCAACATCTCTGCAGCAGCAGCCGAAGAACCCTAATCGCCACCGTTCTCGCGTCATGGCCGTCGGGTGATTTCCCTCTCTCTTCGTATTCTTTTCCTGTATTTCACTAATAGCGATTTTCTGCGATCCCATAGTACTCTTTGTTCACTCACATTGGATCTCCTTTCTCCTTTTGCGTTCCCTCTCAGGAAGAACAAGCGGATCTCCAAGGGAAAGAAGGGAGGCAAGAAGAAGGCGTAAGTTGGAATCCCGTTTGATTATTCTTCTCAATTTTCCTCCATTTAAGTGACTCGCTTGTCCTTCAGTTTCTGAACTTAACTAGTTTTTCTTTCTTGTTTTTCTATCCACGGTTACAGAACCGACCCCTTCGCCAAAAAGGATTGGTATGATATCAAGTCACCTTCCATTTTCGAAGTCAGGAACATTGGCAAGACCCTCGTCAGCAGAACCCAGGGGACTAAGGTATGGTTTCCACTTGATTGTGATGATGACTCTTAGCTTAGACAATCGAGTTGATTATGGGCCAGGTAGAGAAATAGACGGCGGTGAAATTTGTTTATTTAGGGATTAATCTCTCTGCTTCTAGGAATGTGTTTACATGCAATGGTGCAAGTTCAGTTAAATTGATATGGGGTTTCTCCATTCCGATGATTTGTCTGTATAGGTCAATGTGAAAGTCTTGACTGGCATTGATTCATGCTGTATTTTATGACGTGGATATCTTGTTGGAAAGTTATAGATTTTGTTTTGTGAATGCATGGTTGGATTCTGTTGAATAAGTATATCTTAGTAAACTCACCAGGGTTGTTTATTTTTGCATGATGTGTGATCGATGAATATATGTGTTGTCAACAGATTGCCTCTGAAGGGCTGAAACATAGAGTTTTCGAAGTCTCTCTTGCTGACCTTCAGAAAGATGAGGATAACGCCTACAGAAAGATCCGCCTTAGGGCAGAGGATGTGCAAGGAAAGAATGTCCTCACCAATTTCTGGGTATGCAGTGCTATTTACTTGTAGATCTCCAAATATGAAGCCCTACTGAACCCGAAGCTAAAATAACCCGTTTATCATACTCGCTAGGGAATGGACTTCACAACAGACAAGCTCCGTTCTCTTGTCCGCAAGTGGCAGACGTTGATCGAGGCCCATGTTGATGTGAAGACAACTGATAACTATACCTTAAGGATGTTTTGCATTGCCTTCACAAAGAGGCGTCCCAATCAGGTCAAGAGGACTTGCTATGCCCAATCAAGTCAGATCCGACAGGTAAACATGCTTTTACAGTGATGGTTTAGAAGTTTTGTTGCCTCTCATCAGTCAGATGGCCTCATATAGTTAACACTCTGTTACAACCACAGATTCGCAGGAAGATGAGGGAGATCATGATCAACCAAGCACAGTCTTGTGATTTGAAGGATCTAGTGAAGAAGTTCATCCCTGAAAGCATCGGGAAAGAGATTGAGAAGGCCACTGTCGGGATCTACCCTCTCCAGAATGTTTTCATCCGAAAGGTCAAGATCCTCAAGGCTCCCAAATTTGATCTTGGGAAGTTGATGGAGGTAAATCCATCACGGCACACCTTGTTATTTGATCCATCCATCTTTTCGTTCTTTTGTGAGATTAATGTAACTGAGAAATCTTCCTGGTGTTTGATTGGTAAAAGGTCCATGGTGATTACTCGAATGAGGATGTTGGTGTGAAGGTGGAGAGGCCGGCTGATGAGCCAATGGCGGAAGCAGCAGCTGAGACCGAAGTTGTAGCTTGATAAACTCAGGAGACACTGTTGGTTTCCGGATTGTGACAATCGTTTGAACTGGCTTTACAGTAGAGTATTTGAAAGAAGTTTTGCTGGGATTTTGTTCTTTTGGAAACAAATGTGAACTGTAGAGGTCTATTATATATCGGGGTAATATGTGAGAGATCCATCCTCGGAAGACTAATCATCGACTTCAGCTTCTCCAGTTTTGCATTAAACATAGCCAGTTGATTTACGGAGATGTTCAATCTTATTTTTAGTCAAACCTTGCTATGGTTTCCCATTATATTCGTTAGAAAGATTAAATGTAATGGGTTGAGATGATAGTTCGTTCGTGGAACGTGAGAGGGATTAGGGTTTAACAATCGTGACATGCATGAGTTTATAGTTGGAATTCTGAAAAATGTATAAAAAAAATCAGGGTTAAATCAGGGTTAATTTTATGAGATTATAAGAAATGTTTAAGTTTGGTCACTCGAAATATTAAAATTCGTTGGTGGTAATTAAGTTTAATCAAACCGTTTATGTTTGGTCACTCTCCGTTCAACTGCGTTAATTTTAACGGGTGTGGCAGTCGACTTTCAAAGTTGACCATTAACTTAGTGATGTGGCAACTAAAAAATTATTAAAAATAATTTTTTATATATATTTTTCACCTCATTATTACATTCAATAAAAAATATAATTTCTTTTCTACATCCATACCTGGAAATGTCGAAGTCGACACATCCTCTTCGTGGATCGCCCAATTCAAACCGGGCGACCGGGTAGAGATCAGCTTCAACGACCCCGACTTCCGCGGCTCCTGGTTCGCCGGCAACGTCATCCGCTGCGAGCCGAAGAACCCTAATCGCTACGAGGACGAATATGGGGAGAAGCTGCTGCAAGAAACCCTCGATTGGATCCTGTTTACCCATAAAAAAATCAGCTTATACCACATTGATTAATTACAAGAGGATTAATGGATTTAGAAGGCCAACTCAACATTAATAACTAAAAGAGCTACTTAGGCCTTATTGGGTTGGGTTTTTGGGCCTAAGTGGCCAAACCCCTTCTTCTCTATACAATGGGCGACCCGTCTCCGTGGCCCCATAGCCGGATGATGCTTCCACCCCTTGGTATGAAATTTGGCTCCCAAAAACTAAGTCTGGAAACAAGGTGGCACAACTGGGTGCCAAATGACCGGGTACCAAGTAAGGAGGTCAACGATGGGGTATCAAGCCGGCAAGGTAGGGCTTGGTACTATGACATAAAATTTGGCTAAGGATGGAGCAAAAGGGGTATCAAGCCGACAAGGCAGGCTTGATACCAATAGACATGAAAGTTGGCTATGTATGGAATTCCTTGGCCAGGGGGCAGGGCTTGGTACCAAGACATGAAAAACATGAATTTGGCTAAGTATGGAGACATAACCACCAGGGGGGTCAAACATGAAATCATCCAAAGGGGGTCAAGCATGATGTCATGCATAGGGGTCATCGCGAGTACAGCTGGACATGATGGGAAAGAAGGCGAAAATTGGCTAAGTGTTGAGACCCATAGCACAAGGGGGGTCAAGCATGAGATCGACCAGGGGGGGTCATGCATGACATTGTCCAAGGGGGGTCAAGCACGACATCATCCATGTCATAGTGTCCAAGGGGGGGTCAAGCATGACATTGAGTCGAGTATGATGGGACGCAAGTAGGGATGGCAACAAAACCCGAACCCACGGGTACCCACCCGACCCAACCCGGTCAACGCGGGTAAAATCCGTGTTGACGGGTTTTGGGCCGGGTTTGGGTTTAAACCCGTTCACTATTTACCGAGTTGGGTTGGGTTTGGGTTTAGGTAAACCCGGCCCGTGGGTACCCGCCCACTCATATAATTAATTTTTTCGGTATATTTAATATTCTAAACAACTATTCTTATTTATGTTTGTGGAGACATGTCTAATTTTTTCTTTTTAATTGTGTAGAATGAAGTTGATGTTATGGAGTGGAGACTAAAGAAACTTAATTGAAAGAAAGAAGCTTTCAATTAAACATGTTATTTATGGATAATTTGTGATTTGCTTCAATTTTCTTGAGTTTTCTAGATTGGTGTTGAACAATTTGTATAGTTAATTTGTGATTTGCTTGAATTTTCTAGAATGGTGTTTTATATATGGATAATTTGTATTGAGAGATTGATATTTGACTTTAATTTTGATAAGAACTTGTAATTGTAAATTTTTTACGGCAAAACCCGTGGGTACCCATGAACCCGCGGATACCCAATGGGTTGGGTTGGGTTTGAGTTTTTCAAACCCGGTGGGTTTTACCCCGGATTTTTTTCAAAGATAAACCCATGGGTTTGGGTTTGGGTTTGGCAAAACCCGACCCAACCCGACCCATTGCCATCCCTAGACGCAAGGGGGTCTAGCCGCCTACCGGGTATCAAACATGTGGCATGGAGAGAAGGGCAACGCAAATCCCTAAATCGTGGTGGCAAAGAAAGGCAAAATTTGGCTAAGTGTTGAGACCCATATCACAAGGGGGGTCAAGCATGACATCATCCCAGGGGGGTCAAGCATGATGTCATGCAAGGGGGGTTAAGCACTATGTCGTCTACGCCTACCTTGCGCTAGGGTGTCAAGCATGACGCCGTGCAAGGAGAGCTATCACGAGTACCCCTAGACGTGATGCGGCAAAAGAAGGTGAAGCATGACATCATCCAAGGGGGGTCATGCATGCCATCATCCAAGGGGGTCAAACACCGGATACGAATCACTAGGGTGTCGAGCATGAGGCCGTGCAAGGAGAGTTGGTGTCGGCATTGCTTTGACACTCATCTCTCAAGTACCCAAGTAGAGCAGAGGTGCTAGGTCTCGTGCAAAGTCATCAAGTTTCTAAGTAGTCAGCCATGTATATCATCACATGGTAGACCACCTTGTCAAGACCCTGCAAGCATGATGCCACCCCAAAAGGGGTCATTGTGCATCCATCAAACCCATAAGCACCCTGGTGTCGAGCATGACGTCATGTCAAGGTGGTTAGCACGAGTACTACCAAGCGTGAAGCCTTCACTCACCAAACAAGACACCTCCATGGCACAAGGGGTTAGCTATCAAGTGAAGTCATCAAGTGGGAAGCACGCAAGACAATCAAGGCGTCAAGCAAGCTACACCAAACACCAAACAGTGAAGCAGCGGTTACCAAGAGGCGGTTACACAACAGTTACAAGGGATGACTATAAATAGGTGAAACGAAAACGAAGTAAGTGTTCCACAACCAAAAATTTGACACCACATGTGAAACTTATCTTTTCTCTGCAATGTAGCCATAGTTGTAGCTTTTAGTTTTTGGAGCTCTCACTGAACCTCCATAGGAGTAGAATTTATTTAACTTAGTTTTATCAGCCATCAAAATCATCAAACACCCTCGTTCGAACATTGTTCGGAGAGGTGTGAACCGTGTTATTAATCGTTGTTCAAGAAGTCAAGGTGCATTTATTGAGTTCAAACACAAGTTTTTCCTCACCGGAAAACAAATTGGCACACCTAGTGTGACAATTGTGTTTGATTTGATGGCTCCACGACTGAGAGAACAAGAAGGTGATCTTTCACCTGGGTTTGTGATGGATCTTGTCGCCAATTTTGAACTTGGCCAAGAAGGAAAAGGATTGGTCGGAAACAATGGCAAGGTAGAGGCTTGCCACCGCCGGCACCTTCTGTCAAAGTAACCACCACCGTCATGTCACGCCATTTGATAGTGGAGGAGACACTGAAGATGATGGTGGAGAACCTCCTGGCCATGGAGGAAAACCGCCAGGCCATGGAGGAGAACCGCCAATTCATGGAGGAGAGTTGGGATGAACTTGTAAGATATTCACATCAGATAAGTCTCAAACTTGCTTCTCTTAGTTCCACCTTAGATAGAAGGTTGGACCAATTATTTGAAGTAGTTATAAAAAATAGAAATTGCTTGGATAAGTTTAAAAATGATTTTATAGAACTAGTGGTGCAAGAAATATCTTTACGAAAAATTGGTATAGATCCGCCACCAAGTATTGCTACTAAGGATACAATTATTATGGTCTCCGGTGGCCGGACTGCCCAACCACTGTCAGGGAACTCGTCGCCTCCGGTGACAAGTCAACCACCTTTTTTACGTGGTGGTTATGGCGAGAATCTCACTCACAAGTTCTCCACCCACGTAGAGCAACCGCTTGTGCAGACAGTTACACAAGAAACTGTCTTGGTGTCTATATCATGTATGTCACCTTGTAATGGGAAGGCTAGTGGAGATCAAGTCGATTTGGATCAACTAGCACCAGAAGCTTGCCCACCCTCATTGCCACCCCTACTCAATGGGTATGGTGGATGCAGACCACCTAAGGGGCAGGAAGAGGGGCATAGAAGCCTACCACCTGACAAGTTGAACATGAAGTGTCAGGCTGGGGGCACGTTGATGTCAAGGAAGGTGTACAGAGGGGTTTGTTCAAGAGAACACAACATAATTTGTCTAAGTATGGCAGGGGGCATGCCATCAACCACAAGTAATGGACAAATAAGCATGCATAAGAAGCCAAAACAAGTCCAAGCCGTACATACTTGTAATAAGCATGTTAGCATGGCTAAGTGTGGTAAAGATGACCATCATCTACTATGAACAATGACATGGAAGACATGTCTCCAGCCTCAGGCAGTGGACAAGGGGTCATATCATCGACCATTAAGAAACGAATGAAGGACATGTCATCAACCACAAGCAGTGGGGTGACAGGTGTGCCCAATAAGCCACAACATGAAGCCACACTTGCCTTTAGTAAGCATACTAATATGGCTAAATATAGAAAAGGGGGCACTTCAACAACCATGAATAATGGTATGGGGGGCGTGTCTCCAACCAGTGGACAGGGGGGCATGTCACCGACCATGATGAAACAAGTAGGAGAAAATTATATGAGTGTGCAACACACCCAAACCACTCAAAAAGTTTCTAAGTATGAGAGTGTGTTAAGGGATGGACGAAAAAGCAAGTCCATGCTTAACAGCCCTCATGGCATGCCAAACGTGGATGGCAGACAAGGGGGCGTGAATAAGACATCTCGGCACACACCAACTAGACATGGTCCCACAAAGGGCCAAGGGGGGTTATGTGCTAATTGTAGGGATCATCAAGACATACGGGTTGAACATGGTCAAGTTGGCCACAATGGTGACCATAAACTCTTTAAGTCCAAACACCCGTCTTTCCAACCATATGGGAAGAATAAACATGTGTCTTATCATGGGGAACTAAGACAAATGACAACACATGGTCTTGTTGATGACTCAAAGGAGTTGAAGATGTTTAGTGTGCTACCCAGGATGAGGCAAAAACATCGGGCTCAACATAAGAACAACGTGTCTAATGAGATGGCTCAGGCGAAGGAGCATGAGACCCCTTGCAAGCCTGCCAAAGCAAGACAAGTTGATCAGGTACCATCCACTATT